AATACCAGCTAAACCATGAGGCAACAGTTAATGAGTTTCAGCCTCCGTTTGTCTTCCCAGATTCATTAAATTCGGGTGTTAATAGTTAATATCGTTTAAAGTGTGAGCAGTTATGGAAATTTTGTGGTGAGTAACTAAAATACAATTACACAGGAACCTACAAAACCAGTAGGGCTCTAAATATGTTGTTTTATGGCTTTACACCTTAAATAAAATAAACATAATCTGAGTTACACAACATTCTACAAAGGCAAATCTTTTTACTGTGGCCTCTTTCTTCTTGTAGGGCTTTAAACGAGTAAGATGCTCATGATTGTACTGTCCTCTAGTGGTAGATACGCTTACCTGCCTCACTCCAGAGAGCACTGCTCAGTCACAGAAGACTCATAGTGTTGATATCTATGAAGCTCTCTATCTTGTCTCCACCTTTTATTTTATTGTTTATTGTACATTAGGTTACAAAAATGTACAAATATGCATCTTTTTCCTGGGAAAAACTTCAGACTGTGCCTTCAGCATGTGGAAGTAGCATGAGGAAAGATCGATAGAGGAAGGGGGAGAACTTTGAGAACTTGGGCTGGAGCTCTAGGCAGCTTCTGCCCATAGCTAGAAGGCCAGATCCCACCCCCAAAAAGCCTGGCTGAGCATCTCAGTTGTACAAATTCATGCACTCCAGGCCAAGAAGACTTCAATCTGCCATCCAAAAGAAGGGATATGCAGTCGAATAGAAAAGTTTAGGCACCCATGGCAGGGTCATAGCCAGAATATTTACAGTGGGGTGGCCAGGTTAGACCCAGTGTTTTCAGTGTTGTGGCAAACTACCTGCAAAAAAATGAAATAAAAGAGTTAATAACATTCTTCTGCGCTTATATTAGGCTATATTACTAAAATAATGTAGTAGAGAACAAAAACAGCACAGACCTGTTCTATGCTGGTCTGCTACTGGGTTAGCTTGTCACCAAGCATAGTCATACTGGTTGACCACCATACCAGCATTTAAAACACAACATATCTGGGTTTTGCTGGTGACTGGGCTTGCTGATCTACGCTGGTTTTTATAGCAAGCCTGGTAAACCTGGTAAATTTTACACTGATTTTGTTCCTACTTTAAATATAGTTCAAAAATAGTGGTAATTTTGTTCCGTGTATCATTTCTACTGCTGAATACTGTGTCATTGGTTAAGATAATGTGATCCACAGCACAAAGTATAATGAAACAAAAATACTGTACTATATTGATGTAGAAATATATTTAGGACCCTTTAACCGTGCTTCCCAAATTGAGAAGTTCAATGTTCACTGCTTCTTCAAGCAAAATGAACAAAAGCTAACGTTCAGGTTTTGACCAGTATTCACGAGGAGTGGCACTGGCCACCTCTGGCCCACCCACCTTTTTTTTTCAGAAGTACAACAGGCTCCTGGTCAGACTCCATGTTTTGCTGATGAAGTGAGAAAAAGTCTCATCCTCTTTAGAGAACACGGCTGTGTTTTAATGCACATTTACTGTTTATTTGATGAATTTAGCATATTGAAAAAAGGAACATAAAATGTGGCCTGTGCAAATGTTATGGCACAGTATATATATATTATGTTTCGTTATTTTCCTATAGATTAAACCCAGCAAATATATACAAATCGTGCACTAAAACGTGCAGAAAAATGTCATGTTTAAGTGTGCTCCTTCTAGAGGATGTGTTAACTTATTTTTACTTGGAACATGTAATTTAGCCAGGTGTGTTCAAACATTTGTACACAAGTGTACCCAACTGTACAACAAAATACTAACCTAAATAAAAAACTAATGTTACTAATGTTTGAGTACTTTTACTTTCCTTCAGTTAAAAACAGGCATAATGTGGAGTTGTAATAACTTTTCTGATGGATACAAGTTAATAAATGATAAAATAAATACTAAAATCTTGGAAAGTCATAAATAAACAAGATATAAATAGTATTTAGAGAGCACTTTGGAGCATTAGATGCTACATCTTAGTACGTCTCTCAAGAAATCCCATTATTCTTGCTCTTTTCTCTCACCTTGTTGTACAGTACCAAAGTTCAGGCTCTTTATACAGGCCTCCGACCCCCAGCTCACTCTGTCTCACTCTCACTCTCTGTCTCTGAGAGATTCCATTGTATCCGTGAGGCTGGGAGAGCATATGTTTGACCCACAGCGCCGGTGAATGTGGCCATCTGCTCAGGATTCCACATGATCCGGGCCCTGTGTGAGAATGCGCCTGCCTTTGTACAAACTCACTAGGCGATGTGGGAGAACCTTCCTTGCACACAATGGGGAACAGTAAGGCACTTTAACCCTTTCCCTCACCCACCCACCTTTTTAGAAGTCCAACAGGATTCCCACAGAAAAAAAAGGCAATATATTGATTTTCCAACTGGGAACTGCCAACATAACATATCCATATACATAACTCTCTTTACATGTACGTGTCAAGTCTGTTTGAGAAGTTTTAAGTAACCTTAATTTTGTATCTGCCTATTTGCCCCATAAGGCTTTTGTAGAATTCTAAGCTCAAATAACTAAATTATCACAGAATAAAATGTACTCTGGCATTGATTTAGAACATTTTCCTCTCATATGGCAAGTATTTGCTCGAATTTGTACCTTGAATGTGTACATTCATATACAACCTAACTGGTAAATACAGGGTCATGCAGTACTGTGCAAAAGCAATTACTTGAACAATCTATCTGGACAATAACTTTTTGCTTGTAAAAACACCACATAGCATCAGAATAAATGCGAACATTAATGTAGTAAAAAGTAACAAGAACTTTTCTTAAGCAGCTGAGCTAGTTAGAAGAACAGAAGCCTGGTTCTTGGTTCCAGACATCAGATGGATTCATTCAATTCCATCAACAGTAACCTGGATTTAACTTAATGAAGGATTGATTGAGTCGAACCAAATATTTGGTGATGACAATTAATATTGGGATTTAACCACTGGAAAGATTGACATACATAAAATACCTTTTTGTATTCATGTTATTTGCAATTATTATATTAGCATTTCTTAGCAAATAAACACTGCCTGGACAGATACCTTATTAAAACCAATTTTCTCAAGCACCTAAAATGTTTGCAGAGCACCATGTGTAGATTTTTATGAGTCGTATCTTGACGACTGAATCACTTTGTTACTGAAGGTTACAAGGAATTCAGCACTGGTTTTTGAACTTGCCAATAAAGGAAGCAGAAAGTAGGAACAGTGGCTTTTTTGGAAGTTCCTGTATAAATAAATTATTAAGATATAAACAAAGTCATTCAGAGTGATATGATATAAGGTGCTCTGTTCTAGCGAAAACAAAGCAAATCAGAATCGTTCTCGGTGGTGGCGATAGGAACCAGACAACTGCTTGTAAAAGATCCCTCACAGAAAATTATTCCATGAAATGGTTATGAATATGCTGCCTGACGTTTTTCTATGATAATTGAGAAGGTTTTAGACTAAATTTTCTTTTAAACCCATTCATTGTGGACAAGTACATGCAGAGCACTGTGAGGCAAAACAGTCCACAAAGGAAACTTTTCTATTTTTTACTATTTTACCATCATCACATTACATATAAAACACATGTTGGTGCACTGATGGTTTTGGATAGTAAATAAAATGGCTATTTTTGTGTTGTAGACATCATGACCCCTGGTTCCCATAATCATCGCTGTAAAGAAATCAGTCTATCAGTTTCTCTTCAATAAACCGTTTCACATCAATCCACTCTGAACGACTTTACATCTCAGCAACTAAATTAGGCAGACGCTTTACAGAACTGATGGAACTCCCCTTTAACGCCTCCAATAGCTTGATGCCTGAGACTGTTTTACGATGGTTTTCAGAAGTTAGACATAAAGGCATGATGTAATTTTTTTTTTTTAAAGGTCCATTTAAAAGAGAAGTATACATGCAGTGTGCTAAGGCAAAGTAGTTCCTGTATTTTTCAGGTTTACCACTATTTTTCCCCTAGTGTACTATCACATCAAATCACACTGAAAGACTTTGCGTCATAAAGCTTCAGAGTATTAGTACTGATCTAGAAGCCATTTGTCAGCAAAATATAAAGAGGAATCCAATCCCAGAGCAACACTCCTACTCTGAGCTTGATGAAACGGGGTTCAGAGGACTTCTAGAGACCACCAGATTTAACTTAAACAATGCAAAACTGAAGCCCCAGTCACATTTTTTGGGCCACAGGAAATGCTCTCAAAGTAGTTCTCTCTGCCAGTTGTGCCTTTTATGTAGAGAACAAATATGTAAATGACACTGTAGTTAGCCCATGCATCAGCAAGCCCTTAATGCAGTGAGGAGAGGTGGGAGGGAGAGCAAACTTCAATGAAACAAAAGCACCATCATTTCCATACCAGATTAGATCAGCCAACCCTGCAACCCCCCACCTCACATTAAGAATAACAAAAGGCGTCCACAGCAACCTCACAGAAGGGTGTCGTTCAGCCTCGGAGCCATACAGACACTGAGACATGTCCATGAATCAACTATGGAGCTTGAAAACTCAACATGCTAAATCTGACTTTAATGCCACCAAATCCTACAATAAATCCAAATAAAAAGCTCAATTATTTGTGCTTTAGAAAGACACTTTCACGACCCAATCACTACTCACCATTTAAATAATTCAATGTGTATTGTTTTAATAAGTAATAAAGCATAAGCATATTCTGCAACACATCAAAAGCTAATACTCTGAAAACAAGGCACAAAAACTCTGAACAGTTTAAAAAAGGTTTATTTTCAGTACAAAAAAACTGCAGGGAAAAAAAAGAAATCAATATATTAAACTTAATACAAAACGTTATGAAACATGTTTTCTATAAATACAATAAAATAAATAAAAAAATGAAGTTGCTAAAGATTCTTCACCTACACTACATCTTGTAACATGAAAGCCTTGAAGGGCATCAGATACAAAAAGGTACCCAGAACCATCTAGGCTATGAAATGATCCAATGAAAAAGTTCAGGGAGGAAGGATTCCTTAAGTCTCACACACAAACCTGCTTAATAATACATTACCACAAGATCTAAGAGGTCGAGAAAACCTATAGAATACCAAATATCTAGGTGGAAATTTCCAGAAGCCAGCTAACAAAGTCACTAACCTTAGGTCTGGAAACGAACCCAACAATAATTACAGGAGAAGGAACGACTCTTAGGTCCAAAAACTCTGCTGCTCAACAGTACTTTATGAACAACTTCTGTAAACACTTTATTTTCTAAACGCAGCAGTCTGTGGAAGAAACCTGTATGAAAACAGTGGTGCATGGACATTAAGAGACAGAGCCTTATCTCGAAACTTAAGTAAGACAACACTGAATCTATTGAACATTCGCATGAAAAGGCTAAAGAATTGGTCATAACTTCTCTTTGGCTTTTTTTTTTATATAATTCTTTTGAATGTTTACTCATTTAAATATTTTTCTTAAATACTCCCAAATCTACAATGTGTCTCACTCAAAGGCCCAGGCTGCAACTCACCAAATCACATTCTTCTCTTTTGTTAGTCACTTAAGAAAAATCACATTGTGATCGCTGCACTTAAAAGCATGAGATCCTTCTTTGCTTCATGGTTGAGTTTAAGACACTTTGCAGCCGATTGTACAAGAATGAGCCTTCGCTTGAAGCTTAGCTAGAAAACATCAAGTATTTGCACATAAAGTATACCACAGTATACAGTTCAGTCCTTGTGATGCTCCTCAAAGTTCTACATGAAGAAGCTTGCACTGCTGGCGCTGCCCTCGCTGCAGAAGCCGTCATCAGGCACTGACAGTTGACTGAAGATAGGAAGCCTCCGGCATGTGCCATCAAAAGCGGAAGAGGAATCGGAGCCACTCAGGCTGCTGGCCGAACTGCTGCAACCTCCTTCGTGGTCAGACAGGGAGGTGAGAGATAGGCTTCTGGAGCCTAGGGAGACCCCACAAGTCGGGCTCCGTCTGGGGCACCCCTCTGGCTGGCTGGGGACAATCTGGGAGGGCGACAATGTGGGGGTCTGCTCTCCGTGGGAGCACCCAGAGTCAGGAGAGGGCAGAAACTGGGGCATGGACTCCCAAGCTTGGTCCATGCTGGACCCCGGGCTAAACTCCGGGAAGGCCAGGTTCAGGAGATCGGAAATGGTGGTTGATGCTGGGGGCGAAGCTGAGGAGGCTGAAGGAACCCGGAAAAACGAGGACTGGGCAAGCGGAGGCTCCATGGGCTGGAAAGCAGATGGAAAGCCAGGGAAGCTGAAGCTATGCTTGAGTAGGGGTGGACGCTGGGTGGTCGCAACAGAAGCCTGGGGCTGGGGTTGGGGCCGGGCGTGCGCATGGTCATCCTCATTGTTGTGCACAAAGTGGCAGCGAATGCCATAGGGGCAAAAGCCAATTGAGTGGAAGGTGCGGCACAGTTCTGTCTTGTACTTAGGATGTCGGTTGATGCCCCGCAGCTCCTCGGCCCCGTGTGCAAACTGGCATTTGCTGCCGTACTTGCACACACCCCTTTCGGTGAAGGTGCGACAGAGTTCAGTCTTATAGCGGGATGAGGTGGTGGTGGCAGCAGGAGAGAGGGAGGGCGCCGAGGTGGGCAGGGACACCGTGCTTGACATGGCCACAGGCTTGTCAAGACTGGGCTCAATGGATGCCCAACCCAGCCCTCCCGTGTCACCTTCCACCATGCTGATGGCACGCTCGGACCAGAAAGCCATCTTGTTCCACCTTGACGGCTGTAATGTTTCTTTGTGCTGTGCCCAGTTATGTGAAGCCAATGACCTAGCCTCTGAAATGGTCCCAGATGAGGAAGACGGGCAAGAGGTTCCCAGCTTTTTAAATCCACCTGCTGGTGCTGGGAGTCCCGAGGACTTTGGCGGCTCTCTGATGTCTAGACCCAAAAACTGCTGTAGGCAAAGAGAAAGGAGACTGTTAGCTAGAAAGCAAGGGGCTGAAAAGTCAGCTTTTAACATTGTATTAATTAACAAACAGAAAGTCCTCACACACCCAACAAGCTACTAAAGGGGACCAGTTTTTTAAAAAAAAAAAAAAACATCAGTAAAATGGTTAAGATGTAAACACAGTGATTTGGCATGGTTTGATGTGAAATATGCCATTGTAGAGAAACTGAATAACTCGCAGCAGTAGTGATGGGAACCAGACGTCAGAGTTGAATGCCTCTATGAGCTACACCACCTTAGCTGGGTAGTTAGCTTAGTTACAAGGGGTAGATGATTTGGAAAATATCAGGATAGTTCAAGACATTTTCATGGTACACAATATGTATCACAAGAAATAGTTTTTCTGAGAATCACCAAGTTGGAACAGACAAAATAGAGACAGTAGTGCCACATATTAAACTACTATAATAAAAATAAACTTACAGTTTGTAGTTTGTCTTTTACAAACTACACTGCACTAAATCCAATTAATCAGGCCTAATTATGCTCACTTCGTAATGAAACGTGTAGTGTTCAAGTACTGATGATATCCACAATACGCTGAGAAAAGCACCCTGACAATTTATCACGATAACGATAAAATATCGTCACATCGCCCACCCCTAGCAGTTACATAAAATGGTTAAGACACTGTAAATACCTCTGAGAAGGTTTTGGCCTACATGTGCAGTCATTAGGAGGGAAAAAACACTTTTACCATTACAGACATTACGTACAAAAAATTCACAAGGCAAATACAGGTTCACTTGTTGTATTAGATCGCTAATTGCGTTGTACACATCACAACCTCCTGGTTCCCTATGACCACCACTGTAGCGTTAAAGAAACCTGAATCTTTTCTACAAGGCACCATTTCACACCCAAGCTTACATCTCAACGACTGTACTAGATAAATATATATATATATATATATATATATACACACACACATACATACACACACACATACATATATACATACATATATATATATACATACATACATACACACATACATACATATATATATATATATATATATATATATATATATATATATCATATACATATATATACACACATACACACACACATATATATACACATACATATATATAGATGGATAGATAGAAACGAAATACACCTTTAAAGCTAACGCTAACAAGCATGACACTAACTGCAGCTCCGCGGGCCCATCGGGACTTCACAGCCAGTTCATTCACTTGGACCAACGCCAAGAGCGGGCACGCGCGCGCACACATCGGTTCCCATGGCCCATACAGCACTCTCGGCTCCAAACAGATTCCCTCGTTAACTTAAGCAAATACTCACAAAACAGCCGGCGATACTACGAGCTACAGTTAGTTACGCTGCACACCTCGACCAAACAGCTGGTAAAACTAGCTAACGTACACACTTCAGAGTTTTCTGGCGTCGAGCCGCGTAGCGTCCAATTTGTTTACTTTCAAACTGCAGCAGACGTTCAAATATTGATACTCTGAACTGAAAACTTAAACGCGACTCCAAACTCACACTTCCACATTTCTCTGACTATTCACGGCGGCTTAAAGAGACTTTTACGAGCTGCATTATTCAGTTCACAACTTTTTAAACCCCAAAACGACGCTCGGTTTCATTATTCCTAACTCGTGGCCCGCTGAGTCCTCTCTGCGAGTAACCAGCGTTAGCTAACTTAGCGGCGCACTGCTGGCTGCAGTTAACCAAGTTAGCCTGCTTGCTAGCGCAGACACCGGAAGGTCCGAGGCCGTTACTCAACCCTACAAACGCCGGGCTCGTGCACAAAGTTAGCCTCAAGTTTAATACGAGCTAATCTTTGACTCACATTTAGCCCAAGTCCGCAGTTCGCGAAGAGCGCATGCGTCAAAAAGTGGAGGTTAACAAACCCACAACTATCGCCGAACTCTCTTTGCCTTACCTTGCATAAAACGTCGTCCACATCGACGAACCGGTTGAGGGCGTATGACGGCATGTTGGACCGCGCCAAAGGACGATGCTTTCCGCCAGTTCTGAGCTGCTTCCAAAACTTCCCTCCTGGACTTGAAAGTTTCAGTCAGAGCCACGTGTGGTTTTTGAAGCGGTCCTACGGTCACACCCCCCCTGCGTCCACTCCCACTAGCCGTGACGTCCCAGACGCCCTGAGCACGCTGGACTGCCATTTCTCCAGGATTTATTTTTGTCTGCAACATGGGCATTTTACATTTTTGTGCAAAAAAACAGCTTTGAGGAATGTTTTTTCTTGCCACGTTCGCCATTTAAGGTGCAAATTCCATCAGTTCACTGTAAAACGTGATATCTCCAACCTAGTCAACATGCCTAATGTTTCTCATTATGTGATCACTAATAGTTAACTTAATTTTTTAACTTGTTGTAAGTAATTTTATCTGGTGATTATGTAGACATTTTATCTAGTATTATTCCATTGGCATCAAAATGTGCTTGTTTCATAATCATATATTATTGTTACATCAGTCTCAAAATGAGAAATATTTGATATACTGACTAGATTTAAGATGTCTTCACATGCAAAGACATGTTTTTGCAGTGTATATATTTTATTGCGTGAAGGCAAGCAATGACTTAGCCATTATACATTGTTTGTGTTGAAATTGAATAGGGTGGATTCAGGTATTGTATGACTTCAGGTAACACTGGGCATGCATGCTGTAGGCCCTGAATGATAAAGCGGTTATTTTATTAAATTCCCCACTGAAACTTAGTTTTGTAAATTAATTTCTCTATTTACAGAGTGTGTTTACTTGTTTAAGAAGAGTGTTCTAGAAAGCCTCAGCTGCAATTGGAATAAACAAGTGCCTCAATATCTGATGGCCTATAATAGGTGAATCCCTCCAGTGCGACATGATTACTAGGAGGCACAGTTGCTACAGTGTTTTAGAGCAGAACATTTAGGCGACACTGGGTTGCTGTGCTAAAATATCTGCAGTTTATTCATTTTGCTGCTTATACAAATAATGTTTTATGTCTCCATTACTCTAATCCAGGCAGATTTAGTCCCAATTTCTACACTTTATAAATGGTTGTATCAGCATCAGCCGATATGTAAGTGAAAATTATCAGATATTGGACTCCTATACTTGTATTCCCGTATGGGTGCAGCCCTAGTTTTTTCCATTTTGCCATGTCCCCTCTAAAACGAAGAACCCAGGGAGAAGACAGTCGCTACGCTGTTTGGTCTGATTCCCTCAAGGTGCCTTACCACCCTAGTGTTGTCTAAACCAGAGCCGACAAACCCCAGAGGGCCTTTGATATGACCTGGGGAAGGTGCTGAAAGTTGCACCAACAGGTTAGGGAGCCGACATTAAAGGCGTTTTATGTGCCTTGTCCTAGTGGAAGCAGACAAGGATGCTGCAGTCCCACTGTGATAGGAGACGAAGCTGATTCCATGTGTCAGTGCCAGGTATGAGGACAGGCTGGCAGAGACATGATAGTGAAACAAATGTTAAAAAATAAAGCATGCAGGCAAAAGCGCCTGCCCCTGTCTTTCTTCAAGCAATCTGATTCTGCAGCCAACAAGTAGACTATTTGTTCATATGTGTGTCCCACAAAACACAATTGTAATCATGTAAATAAAACCTGTGCTTCAGTGCTGAAACGTACTGCAAAACAAGCTTTGACTGACTTCTTCACCTCCCAGTCTCCGTTTACTGGTCCTCCCTCCACAGGTTTTGAAGTACTTTGTATAGACACACACACAGAAGACGCATATTGGAGACTGTAATTTTACCCTCTTTGCCTTGAAGTGCTCTACACTAACAAGGTTTTCCCCATTGTTCCCAAAAACAGACAAAAGAAAGGGTTAGACCGGGCCAAGACATCAGCTTACAGAGGACTTGTTGAAACATAAGAGTTCTTTATTAGAAACCAGCTTAACTAAGTCTGAACCACCTCCAAACCTTCCGTAACTTGATCTCAACTGAGGACACAACTAAAGTGAAAAGTTAACCTGTATTTAAAGTACATTTCCACAACAAACCAGACAGTAAGACTCACTAAAATGGCTCTCTTTAACACTCTTTAACACCAGCCTATTGAAGAACTCAAACATCAGAGCTTTAAACACTGACTAACAACCTGATTAAATGTTAGCGGATTCCCCCAGCAGTCACATGCGCTATCATTCAAAGGTTTTCCACTTGCCTTATTAACAACTTTTTTCTTGCTGTATATACAATAATAACCTAAACAGTGTGGGTTTAAATATTACAAACTACTCACCAAAAGGTCATTTTGGATGTTTTTTAAGAGATCTGTGAACAAAAAGTGGATAAAATGGTAAAAATATATATAGTGCATTAAGCTATTTACATTCATTTTTTGTCAAGTTATCTGCCTTTTCACTTTCTGTCCACTTTTGAGATATGATGCATTCTGGATGTTTATTTTATTGTAACTTAATTCTCAGTGTTATACAGCTTTCTCAGTCACTTTACAACCTTGTTCACCTCCATTCATCATTCTGTACACATCAAAAATTTTGTTTACAGCTACCTAGTGTCCTACTTATTATCTGAAAGCAACACTGTATCTTTCATTTGACATCCTTGAATTACAAGTTGTACATGCCAAACGCTGGGCAACAAGGCAAATTGTAAGCTACAGAATTCACAGCTGTGGTTTCTTGTAGTTTTTTTGTTTCCAAAGGATATCTACCTTACTATCACAAATATTTGCATTGTTTCCACAAAATGGTTAAATAAACTAATAGGAAATGATAGTAATCTGACATGAATATTCACCAAAAGGTGGAATCTTGAACTTTGAAAGTCCTTTCCAACTACTAGAAGGCCCTTTTGCATCTTGGCATAGCCATTACCTTTGCTTAGAATCAATAAAGTAACTATAAGCAGGCATTTGGTAGTTTTGTTTTGGGTAGAGGAGCATTAACTGCCTATATTGTTAGATGCTAGATTGTTGTTATTCAGGGAAGCGAGAGCAGGGTGTGTGGTTAGGGGAGGTGCAGGGTGACAGTGGGATGTGTGTGTGTGTACCTCTTCCACTGATTGAGCAAAAGGGTTTTAGTGCATAATGAGTAAAAAGTTCTTGGGCTAACAATGCTCCCACCCCCCCCCCCTCAAGGGGGAGAGTGCAGGGTTTTTGGTTAGAGTGGGGGAAGGGGTGATTGTTTAGGGAAAGAGTGAAGATGGCTGAAGGCCCTCTCTGCTCTAATCCTTAATCACAACAGTGTCATGGGGCAAAGAGGAATGCCGCCCTAAAATACAACCCCCACAAAAAATCACTCATCCCAAATGACCGCACAGACAAACCCCAGAGCGCCTGTCACTCTGTGAGTGTGGGTGTGAAGGAACGCCTACCAGGCCCATAATTGCAATTGTTAATAGGGTTCCAGAAATCAAGGATCTTTGTCCTATTAGAAGCAGCAGCTTACACCAATGAATCACCTCATAGCACTTTTTTAATTTACAGTTTTCTTGCTTTTTAAAGTTCTCGACTTCAGAATGAGGTCATACACTCAACAAGTGCATTTATGTTCCATCTGGATCCATTCATGTTTACCACATTGTGACATTCCTGAGCTGTAAATGTTCAGAGAATTAATTTGCCACAAATTACAATTGTTAAAGCAATGATTCACAAAGAAAAAAAAACAAATTTAACCAATTTACCCGTACCCCAGACATGGTCAATCAGCCATAACATGTTTGGTGTCTGGAATTTGCCTATTTAGTTTTGCACTGGAGCTACAAACCTAAACAAATAGAAGTCTGCGTCACTGGTAAAAAATTTTGGTGACATTAGCCCGCTCTCACATGATGCCCTAAGCCCTGCGGTCATCCATCCTTTGGTGATACCAACAACATGCAGACCTATAGGGCAAGAGTCCTCAAAGGTGCTTGGTTTAAAAGTAAAATGTAAAGGTTCTGTATGTGCAATGTAAAGTTTCTGTATATGCTGCATGCAGCATTTCAGTCATACTCTGAGTTTATTTGCTATACTATCTACAGTATCAGTAGAATTGTTGGCCATGCAGCTGTAAACAAAACCATCCACTCTGATTGGCCCTTACCTGTATCTTATGGAATTTTTGGTAGTAAGCCACTGCTGAGTCTGCATCATTGCAGTCAGAGGCACTACTGAGAACCCTTCTGAATGACAAAATGAGAAATGGGACACCCTACAGTCTCTCACTTCTCACATGCATGCATAGTTGTGGACCATTTTACAGAGTTAGTTTGAACTGCAGTCACACAGTAAAACAAAACTTTTAAAAAAGCGATTAAGTATTCAGACCATAGATCTTTACAAGAGTAATGTAAAAGAAGCTTCAAAAAAATGCCTACTTATGAGTTTTTGTCCATAAATGGAGCATTACTGTAGCCACACCCTTGCATTTTAGAGCAGGAAGTAAGACTGCATCCCTGTCCATCATGGATGTAGGGTGAGCAGTAAGATCTCATTATTTTGAAGCAAATGTGTCCCGAAGTCTGAAAATCAGTGTGTAATTTTAAGAATTATCACTACCAAAACACATTTTCTGCAATTAAGTAAACTGTTTTGTGTTTTTGGAACAATATTAGGACTTTATGAGTTCAAAGTTGTGTTTGCTAGTCATGTACTGGCTAGTGTTTTTGAGTTCTGCTCAAAAGTAGCAAAAATTGTCCCTACTGAAACAGTCACTACCGATACATTTGGTAAAGTTTCAGTAGTGTTATTATTGTTTTGGTAGTGAATGGACTGTTCAATCATTTGTTTTATGGTCACTCAACACAAAAGAATTTTACTCTGAAGTCCAAGTGAGTTAAAAATCCGAAATGGGCAAAAATAAAGAAGCAGATTTTAAACATCAAACATGTATTGACAATACAAGCACCTACTTGTTAGAGGTGTTATCATTAAACATCCTATATAATCATATTGC